CAGCACATGTAGTTGCCACCGCAGGCATGTGTGCAAAAGCGAATGTAATCATCAGTTTCAGTAATTCTGGTTATCCGTCCATGTACATCAATTCGAAAAAGTCCTTTGAGGTTGTGACCACCCGTTTTGTTCAGCTAAAACATCTGTGGGCGGCCTACCGGATGAAGTAGCTTGGTTAAGTCTGCTATTGTTTACTGACCGTAGAAGGAAGGACTGCGCCCGGCCAAAGGCACAAACCCTTTTAGGAACTGTGCAGCTGGCTATCGGGCTACGACCAATACCCAAATTACCCCTTCACAGCCAGGCGGTGCCAGGGTTCCCTGTTTGGCCACCTTTTAATCGGTAACTAGTGGAGGGGCTCCCAAAACCGGTAGCGGTCGAGAGATACGAAACTGAAATTTTGTCAGCATGTGTGTCGCCCATTGGGCAATCGTATACCTAAATAGAGTTCCTATTTGCACTTGCGCCACGACTTAGGACACTTCAAACATATTTGTAATGAAATTGATATTTCGCTCACCGGATAAGGTGTGTTAGCTGGGATATTCTACTTTCAAGTGCGATCTTAGTTCTGCTAGGAAGTAAAATTCCCTGCAGGTGGGCACGAGGAATACTCAGCTTTACCAAAAAATCAGAAACAAGTGCGTTTTACAGCGAACGACTGCCCTTATCCAAATATGTAAATGAGCATTCAGTTCATCTGCATACTTGGATTTTTTGACAAACGACCACTCGAGCAATATTTTTACTTTTTAGAGAAATGGAAATTTGCATTTTTCATTTTTTCAAAAAGCGAGCATTTGCCGAAACGACCGGGCTTCATGCATAAAACAGGTAATCATGTACCTGGAGGTCCATGCGGCTCTATAATCCCAACCGACGCTTTTTCCCCTGCATGCTGGAAGAGGCCAAAACTTGGCCAATATGAGCCCAAGTGTTAGGCTACGGCGCAGGGATCACTCCTGCTATTAGCAACCTGCAAGTTTAGTGCAAAAACGCATGATCGCACCGGCAAGCCTGGTGCGTTCCAGCGTGGGCTGCATGAAGCCCGGTCGTTTTTATGCGTTTTTGCATACATGTAAATTGCAAAAACGCATACTGTGAAGAGGCTGTCTGTGCATGTCAATGTGTTCGCACTTTTTGTCACCCATTCTCAACTCGAGAACCAGGAAAGCTAGAAGGCTGAAATTTTGGGGGAATGTTCCCCGTCCAAGCAAACCTAAATATTTCAAATTCAGTCGTTTTTTGAAAATGACATAGCCGTTCAGAAACAGCTTCCCCGCCAGATTCATACGTGAGAAGCACGCATAGCTGGAAGCTGAATTTAAAAAATTTAAGTTGCACTTGGACAGGGAACATTACCCTAAAATTTCATTTTTTTACCTTTTCTGGTTCTCGGTTTAGTAATTTTCGTGGAAAGACTTTCTTGCGCCCTTACGTGAGTACCACGCATAGCTGGGGCTGAATTTGAAATAGTTGAGTTGTGCTTGGATACAGGGAACATTTCCCCAAAATTTCAGCCTTCCAGCTTTACTGTTTACCAAGTTAGCAATTCTCCCTCCAAAACTTTCATATGCCCGTGCGTGGGTACTCCACGTACCTGGGAAAATGAATTTAAAATTTTTAAATTGCGTGTGAACAGGGAATGTCCCCTAAAATTTCATTTTTGCAGCATTTCTGGTTGCCGAGTTAACAATTCTCCTGCCAAATCTTTCACGTACTCGTGCATGAGAACTAGGCATACTTAAGGGTTAGATTTGAAATATTTAAGTTGCACTTGGACAGCGGACATTGCCCCAAAATTTCAACTTTCTAGCTTTCCTGGTACTCGAGTAAGCAATTTTCTCCCTAAAACTTTCATACACTCTTACGTGAGCACCACGCAAACCTGGGGGTTGAATTTGAAATCTTTAGCTAACACATGCACAGTGAATATCTCCACGAAGTTTCAGCCCGTTAGCTTATTTGGTTCCCGAGATCGCTTTCCCACCAAAAAATTTGCACATTCTTTTTAAAGCGCCCGTACGCGGCATCCAGGCGTCTGCGGGAGATAATCTTAAAACGGGAGGGTCGCGCATGGTATGGGCACATACTCCCAAAATTTCAGCCTTCTAGCTTTTCT